ACAGATAGTATTATTTTCCCTGCAGTGATGTTTCCCATCAGTCTTTAAAACCTTCTCCATTCTCACATTTCTTTTGCCATTTGTAATAGTCATATATGCCACTACCACTCCAGCAAAAGGAGGCTGGTCATGGACTGCAAATACTCCAAAGGGAATCTCATGTAGTCTCCTACTCTTGGTTGAGAGATTAACATTTAAATTTTTCTTCTTCAGAACATAACCTGTTTAAATGGTTGGCCAAAACTGCTAGCTAATATCCTAACAGTAACTAATGCAGTAATGACTAAATTAATTTAAACACCCATTTTTCTCTAAAAGTAATAAAAGTTAAATAATGAAATTCATGCAAGTGCTTTGTTATCAAGTAAAATTGTAATACATGAAAAGTAAAAAGTTCAAAATGGTTTCGTGGGAAAGATGAGAGAAGTGCTTTTCCCAGAAAATGTGCTTGACTAGCAGGTATCTGTGCAAAAAGACAGATGGGCAGTGGCTCACCTACTGGTTTTGGAGAGCCTAGGAATTTGAAAAGAAAGCTGGTATTTCTCATTTCAACTCTTCTCTGCAGAGAAACTTCATGAACTCCCTCTTTCATTTTATGTGATATACTTTTTACCACATGCATTTTTGTAACAAATCCTTCCACGTTAGTTTTTTGTTTCAGGGTTTCTGTAATTTTGCTTCTGTAGTTATTTGTGGAGTTCCTTAGAATTATCTTTAGTGGGATGGAATTACAACTTTTTAAAAAGAAGCCCAAGCTTGGCTGTCAAGATTGTGACCAATACAAAAAGCATGAAAGTTAATTTAAATTAGAAATCATCAAACTACCTTCCACACCTCCTAGTTATCTAAGTTTTTATTCCTGCCTTTTGTTTGATTTTTTTGTTTGTTTTGGTTTTAGATCTCTTTGAGGTATTCCCATCTCAAATGACTGGAAAAACACCCTTAGCGATTCTGGATTATGTTGTAGTGGAGCATCAAAAACCTGTATCCTTATTCAGTGGTTTTTCTTTTGAAATAAGACTAACTTCTGTGAACTCTAACTCATATAAAAAAGACACTAAATGAGGCAGAAATTTCCAGTGGGTAAAAAGTATTATATACTTATAAATAGATATATTTTACCGCCAATAATAAAGTTCTCTTCTGCAGTAATCATCTCAGTGTCTGACAAACCCCAGAAATTAAACACTTGTTTTGCTAATGTACAATAAGAGAGGCACCAGGATGTGCATAGGTGAAGTATGCAGAAGCAAAATACGTATAGGCAAAAAGCAGGCTATTATTAATATGAAATATTTTCAAGAACTGGTACATGCACAGAAATTTGAGCCTCTTTTCCCTAAATTTTTGTGTTTTCTGTATTTTAGATTTCTTCTGCATGAAAAACCTTACCATTGTAGTTATGACAGTAACAAATACATATTTAAAACAGTGAATGGATAATTGAAATAAAAACTAGAAAATGGGGTGACCAGTTAGATGTTGGCATATACTAATCTACCACATTATATTTTACAGACACAAAATATTTAAACTATTTGCAGGTAGCTGTGAAAGAATGCAAGCCAATGAGCATATATCAGTAGCTTTGTACTATTATATCACTTTGTGCATAGAAAAATTTATCATGAAAACACTGTAATTACATATACATTAATTCTGTGTAGCAGTAGATACCATAATGATATTTTGATAAAGATAGATCTCAACTGTACCTTTCTAAGTGATAACTCCACATTTGTGTCTGCACTGAAATTATATTTGGCAATAGCTTCTCCAATCTCTCCAATTTGTGCTGGGGGAGGTGGCCTGGCAGGCTGTGCTTTTTCTGGGGGAGAAAGTTTCTAGGAAAAAAAAAAAAGAACCAAACATTTTAATCATTTGCATGTAGTTTGTGGACCTATTATCCAAAATAATTCAAGGAATTAAAACGAAGAACAAACCTCAACATAAGAAATTGGGAATATTCCAACTCTTCCATGGTGTTCACCCTCATACCAGTTTTGATCAATTTTCCTGAGGATATAGACAGTATCTCCTTTCTTAAAAGACAGCTCTCTGTAACAGATTCATTTAAAGATGTTTACAGCTTTACATTTGAACTCTTCTACCTGCATAGCTTCTGCAGTCTTTACAGTTCAGTACTGAAACAGAATGTAGCAGATAAACATTTGGAGAAAAAAAGTCATAGCTGTGGTACACTTACCCGTTGATTATACCCTATAAAATGAAATGATTCACATTTATGAATCATCACCAGGTACTATCTGTAAGTTATATGGGCCTAACTTATACCGTGAATACAAGGCAGTATTATTAGTTATTAGCAGAGTAGTTAGGATACAGTCTGCAGGCAAATATGATGTCGCTTGTATCCCCTGTTTAGATGCTGCTTTTATGACAGGTATCTGAGACATTCTTGTTCTTTATGAATCAGTAGGGTAAGCTACTGAATATATCCTGTCTCCGTTGTCTATTACTGCCTTTTTTTGCAGCAGCATAGCTTGGAGTGCTGCTGTTCCACAGAGATTTCTTTTATGAGCAAACTCTTCAGTAGCATGAACATAGGATTATGTTCTAGCCATTTCAGGTACTTGGGGTGTGTGATATGCTTAATGTTGGATACTGAAAAAGGAAAGCATTCAAATCATTATGAACATTTTCAGATCCTCAACTGGGTATTATTTGTTGAACTTTTTTTTTTCTTCTTTCCTCCAAAGAGTTTACCTGCTCTTCTGATAATTCAAATTGTAGTTTTACAGCTATTGCAATTTTAGTGATAATGTTGTACCATATCAAAAGGTTTTTTCAACAGCCTGAATCATCAAAGCAACAGCACTAATGGCATACATTCACTCTCCTCTGACTCCCTCATACCCTGGAACAGTGTTCCCTGATTTTGTTTTTCTTATGGATCGCTGTAGTTTGTTTTGGTAGGGGACATTTCACATCCTGCAGCAAGACTGGGTATGTTAAGACAGACATATTGGAAGATGCTGAGCACTATACAGAATTTTGATAAGAGTACTCTATCTACAACAGCACTTTTAGTCTGGTATCCTGGTGTTGCCTAAATATGATTCACAGCAAAGAGCATTCAGTGGGCGACCCTCAGGACTCAGGCTATAGAAAGTATTTGTACAAAGTACAAGTACATTGTACAAATACATTGTATTTGTATTCAAGCAAATACAATGGAAAAATATAATAATTAAAAGACATTTTAATTTCAAAATAACTTCTCACACAGCTTGCTAATGCAGAGGCTACTGTGGCAGAAAGCAGGGTCTTCTGCTTCCATCGCGTTTTGCTGTTGAAACTGGCTATAAGAGCAGTTAGCTGCATCAAGTGCTAGAGGGACTTTTCTTGACTTATGAATACTAAACGAACAAAAGTCTAGTACTTACTTAGAAGTCTGAGCTTTAAAGTCATATACAGCTCTAGCTGGCAGTTTCTGAAAAGTAGGCAAAATGATTAATACATTCAGGTAGTACTCCTGTAAGGTAAACTTTTTAACCTTTAAAAAGGTGGCCAAGATCAACCAACCAACCAACCAACAAGCATAGGCAATTAAATATACAGCTTCCTTTTCTGAGACAATTAGGTGTTTGGGACAGTGTTTTAAAAACAGAATTAGCATCTACACAGAGCACTGTCTTTAATAAAAAAAAAAAGTTTTTAAAGGGATCCTGTCAAATCCCATTTTTTTGATACTAATACAGTTCTCCATTACAAATCTGCTTCAAATATGATAGCCTAAGTTTAAAGCACTTTATTGTTCTCTGCTGTTAAAAACAGTCTTTCAGATGAGAGGTGATATCCTTTTCATCAAGTGTAGCTAAGCCCTATCCTGTTTTACTCTTTCATAATTGCGCTTTTTTTCTCACTTCTGCTGCTGGTGCTATAACTACTAAGCAAGGAATGAAGAGAAAAATATTAAAAGAACAGTGGAGCTGATTAAATACAAAATGTACAAATTCAACTGAAAATAGAGGTCAATCTTTCATCTTTTTAAATCACAGCAATCTTAAGAAAAGCTTGTAGTGCAAGTACTTTACATATTTGCATATTAAAACCCAGAATTCTTTAAAAGGAACGCACAAAACACTCCCCAAACTGGTTTTAACCATTATTATATAACAAGAAGTCATCTTTGAAATCAGACTCTGAATTGCAGCCATATTGCTGCTTGTTCTCAGCAGCTAAATTACAAAAACAGTTAAGATTCAGCACTCTCAAGTTGCCGTTATTTTGTGCAATATTTATTTCTATCAAAATCAATGGGAAATGTTAACAATATGTACTTCCTTTGTGATTGAATAAAATCCCTGAAGCCTGCTTGGAGAATGCTTCAAGTTCTAGAATTTGAAATACTCTTAAGAAACTGAATAATATACTTCATTTAAGCGTACTCTTTTAAGTAATACCTTGTGTTACTTTCTTTAGATGTATACCAGCTTCAATTTAATTTTCCAAAGCATTAATATAAGCAATCAGTATACAATCACCAAAACTGTTATAGGAATTAGGGATCACTCTTATGATAAGTGGTTTTGCATAATACACCAAGAGCAGTGTTTTTTCTTTTGTTTTTTTTAAACAAAAATAAGGGTGAAATACCTTATTCTATGTGCTAGTCTTGAAACTATTGAGATACTTTCTTGTGTAACCGATTTTCTAAAGAGCCTTTCCCAATCATACCAATGACTTTGACAGAGCTTACCAATGACTAGTAAACTGATGTCCACATCCATTTAAACATAAGTAGAAAATGCAGTTTATCTTAGAGTAAAAGAATATTAAACTTTTTAAGTACCAGTCTCCTTAATGAAAAGTTGGATGCTGTCCTATCTGATAATACGATGTTAAGAAACTGTTCCTTTGGTCTGTATCATTATAATATCATAACCAACGCAAATTTTGTCTCAGAAATGTTACTGATTTTCTGTATTGACATTGCTACATTATTTATTATTGTTTTGCTACCTCTTTGTCTGTAGTTCCTCTTCTTTCCCTTGGAGTACATCGTCCCACATCAGTGAAAGCAGAAGAATAGTTTCCAGGAGATTCCTGGTCTACTGAAAACAGAACATCATTACGTGACACTACGGTAAAATAAACAAAACCATGGTGCTGCTTGGTTTAATTTAAGGGGATGAAGACATACCCAATCTATTATTTCACCCTTAATAGAAGGAATGTGATGGTTTAAGTGGACCTTTAAAGAAACAAAAATACTGACTCTGAAGCACGGCAGAAGAATGTATTACAGATGATTGGATGAACAAAATTAAGCCTTACTGTATGAAAGAATACACTCCTACTGGACCAAATGGAAGACATGACAGCAGTTGTGAAAAGCTTTCTCTGAATGCCAACAATATAAACATGTAATGACATGCACAAAATTTGACTAAAGCATGCCTCAGTGAGATAATAGATGAAAACAAATTTTCCTCACTAAGTGATCTAAGATGCATTTCTACTTTACCAGGGGCACTATTTAGGCCTTGTCAAGCCAACTTGTTAGTTATTTCGTAAAAACAACTCTATTTTAAGTGATCATTACTTACCAATCTATGTGGCAGATTTTCTGTAAAGCACAGTTTGCCAATGCTTATTACAGGATGGTGTGTTATAAAATTGTAAATATATCTTTTCAAATTTTAATAAAAAGTAAAATAAAAATCTTGTACTCTCTATAGCTCTGCAAGTTGCCAATGTGAATGAAAATAAACTGGAATTATTTCAGACCAGAGGATGAACTGAACTGCTTCTTGGCTTCTGAGATTTACTAGCAATTGTAGTCTCCTAATGCCTGCTGGAGGAGGTGTCTGACTGATACTTGCCTGCCTTTGACTTAATTCACACGATCTATTTTTACCAAGCCTACACATTTTTAAGTCAGTACAAGTGTAAAACAAGAATTGAGAGTATTTAATAAATTATGCTGCAGTCCTCTGGAATAGAGATCTAAATGATCTCCCCTGAGCTGTTGGCTAAACCATTAAGGCTTTAGGCTATGGCTAAATACAGTGGGGGCAAAAATTAGGTAACCGTATCACTAATATTTTGGTTGCAAGCACGTCATCACCAGCAATTGTATCTATAAATGTTTAAAAACATTTTAAGCTCAAGGAATTTTTTTAAGAGAAGCAGAGCAATGAACAACTTAAAGTAGCTTAAAAGCAGGTCAGTGAAAGACAGACTTTTAAAAAAAGTTATACTCAGTCTGAAGTTTCATTTGAGATTTGATTATTGAGAATTTCCTTTCTAAGATGATAAGGTACTTCTCAAAACTTCCCAGATACATTAACGTTCTATGAGAAGAACTAGTTTTGCTGCCACAGAAATTGGAAATTGTATTGTTTGAACAGTGGAAATGGAAACTTCCTAAAATAACCTTTGGGTCTATTCACAAAAAGCAGTACAAAGCATTGGAATGAGTGCATTTTCAAGAAAAAGCAGAATCAACATTCTATGATACTTGTGGAATTAACAGCATTTTTACCACTTACACATAAAAGAATTATACTGTACAACATGCTTTTGATGCAGATATTTTTTTTTAAATAATAAAGGCATATTGTTTTTCTGTTTCACAAGCATCTTATGATGCATCTACTCACTTTTTTTCTTTTTTTTTCTGTGGAAAAACAAACAAACAAAAAAAACAACCTTGCTTAAGTTAATAACACCAAGTGGTGTTTTATAGCAGTAATAATCTAGTAGTTAAAATACGATGCTAATCCAGTTGTCCAGATTACTGCATTTTGTGAATAGACAAATTATCTATCTTCATCACATAGGTACGGATGACAACCTTCCTTAATTAAGAATTTTGGAGGATGAATGCTTATAGACTACACGAATAAAAACGGAATGAGAGAAGGTAGGAAATACAGGGAGTAAATCATAAGGATAGAGGAAGAAAGTTAATCCACCTTGGAAACACAGTGCACTATCATTGTCTTGGAGGTTGTTGTTAGCTGTGTCCATGTCTTGAAAAGAGGCACTAAGAGGTAATCTTCCACAATCGTTCTGGTACAGTGGGCAATGAGCAGCACCATCTTGAGGCAGTGGATGAAAAGGCTGGTGCATGGGACGCTTTTTCAGAGCTGTCAGAGACGAATTCCTTTCTGGAATGTCTGGAAGCAGCTCAGTAATAAGTCTGTGTAATATACTATTGTCAGGCAAGCTTCCCCTCCTTTTTTCAGCTTTAATTTGGTCACAGATGTCTTTAAGTGCAGAATCTAGTGCTTCAAATACAGATGATTTGCATTTTTTCTTTTCAGTTTGTTTTTTAGGGGCTGCACTTTTTTTCCTCCGGAAAGGCACTGGACTGACTAGGAATGCTATCTTGGAGAGACCAGATTCTGCTTCCTGTCTCCTTGGATCCTCTGTGGTTTCTTGTTTAGCCCTTTCATGTTTCAGCATAGTGGTAAAGCGGGTGTAGGATGCTGGGCATCTGCCTTTGCAGGAGCTGATGAGATGCCGGTGGTGGTGGTGGTGGTGGTGGTGGTGATGGCCTGATCCATAAAAGCTTTCAGATGATGTGAATGAGAAGTGATCAAAGTCACTTTCACTACAAAAGGAGGAACCTTCTATCTGGATAAAGTCACTGAGGTCAGAAACCACTCCATCTTGATCGCTGTCTGAAAAGTCCATATGTGACCGTTGTGGCTCATCGCTGGTCACTTCAATATGAATTGGCACCAGGGTTTTAGACTTGTAGCTCCGTTGTACCTGAGAGGGATGTCTGCCTTGATTTTCTTCCTCCAGCAGAGACTCAATAGAAAATCGCCGCTGTGTACATAAACCGTTTTTAGGAGGCTGTAGCGTAATGCTTGACAACATTTCATCACCTAGATTTGGCATTGATTTCGACTTCTGAATTAGTTTTTCAAACTCTGATATTCTGGTTGGCACCATGTCTCTGGGCACCTCTTCAGTAGAAGACTCTCTCCAGCCTTGAAGAATACCTTTATGCTGTTCTTTTTCATACTGCAGTATTCTGGACTTCACAGAACAAATCACCTCAGAATTCATTAAGTCCTTGCGATTGATGCGGTGCATCTTTTTGTACATTTTTAGGAAACCTGGGGCATCGTGTGCAGATCTGTGACGAACTCTTGCCCTACCACCACCACGGCCCTCGGGAACATACGGGGAGGCCCAGTTCATTGAGCAAACATCTTTGGAGTCCTCCTCACATAAAAGAGAGCCCATGCTTTCAGACTTGGCCTGCGCATCAGGAAAGCTATCGCGATCATCTGTTAAAAGATCATCGCAGCTACGAGATTTTCTCTTTGGAGAAGTATTTTCTTCTGTGCTGCTCCACACTTCTGCATTTTGACGAGTCATTTGCCAGCCATTCTTATAGCTGATTGCCCTTCTCGAATCATTTGGAACAGCTAAATGTTGTCTGTAAGTGCTACAGTAATCTAATTCATTTGAGGTGTTGTGGTTGTGCACTGAATAACTGAGGAGGGATGGATAAACTTTGCTAATATCCCCACCTTTGTAATCCACAGAGCAGCATGGTAAAAGAGAGACATTGCCAGAAATTAAAAGATTCAGAAAGTTGAAATTAGTATCAGTTTTAGACAGACTAGAAAAGAGACAGCAATTAACGCATCTATGCTATTAGCTTAGGTCAGTACATAGGTTACTACAAATTAGGTCAGCAGAGCTAATAATTAAGCCCACCCCCAAACAATACCAAAACAAAACAAGGTAAGAAACCACGCATCAACACTGATTTTGAAGCAGGTCAAAAAACAATCAACTAATAAAAGCTGAAAAGGATTTAAAGATGAAGCCAATCCACAAATCTAGACCTCAGTAGACCTTAACTGAGATAAACTGAATTTGGAGGGAGACTGAAGTTTTGCATCTCTGCAAAGACCATTATTTATTGTATTTGAACAGAATTCTGTTCCATGGAATTTAACTAAGAGATACAGGTATACACTAACTGCAGGAAATGTCAGAAATTGACAAAATTAAATTAATACAACTTTCCTTGATAAGAAGTTTACATCAAATAGAATGATGAGCATTAGGAAGTTATTCCCTTATATGTTCTCAAATATATTTCAAATATTTTGACACCTGTGTGTTCTGAAAGCTGCTCAGAATTAGGAGTCACTATGAGTAAAACTTGGAACCCTGGTCTCAGTATATTTGAGCTGAATTTTCTCAGTGATGTCAAGTGGCAGTATTCACCTTCAGGACATGCTTCAAGTAATTCAGTCTGCTTTCTATAAGAACAGTATGAATCTGGATCAGAAACTGAAACACTCAAGATCAAAATCCATGCTGATCAACCCCCTCATAATGTGCTGCTTCTTTAACAAAATGGTTAATTCCAAGAAAAATTAACATTCTGCTCAGTTTCATAATGTTGTGAGAGAATGGAGTGACATGTTTCGGTCACCTTCCAAAAATTCAGTAGCTGTGGTAGATGTTCTTAGGGGAAGGATTTCTCAAACACTGGAAGTGTTTAAGTCATGGTGAGTGCTCCTTATTAGTGGTGTAGTAAAAGGTAAATGCAGGTAAGTGGGGTTTGCCACCTTTACACTGCCTGGCCTGGTATACCAAATGGATGAGTTTACCCACTTTTAAAATTACTACCATAACACTGGGTTTAAAATACAGTTGCTTTTCTAGTCAGCTTCACTCATTATTCCTCACTGTTTGTTTAAATTTGTCTGTTGCAGCCTAAACAGCTATGTTCTTTTCAGTAGTAATTATCGTTTACGAAGGTTTATGCATTCCCTAATACAGCTACGGCTGACTGGAAAATATAGCTAAGAAAGTACAGCAAATAAATGACTAATAATAACTGGAAAAGAAGGACAGGTCTTGTAATAGATATTATTCTATATATTAGTTCCAGCATATATTTTACTGGAAAGCTTTTGTCTTGCTGCAGGAAACACCTAAAACCTCAAACCAACCAAACAAAACCCCAATCAAATCAAACCCTATAATTCAAGTATCTTTTCTGGAGAGACATGGAGAACAGCAATGGAATTACAAGTTATTTTTTTTTTTAAAAAAAAAAAAAGAAATAGATTGTATATTCTGTACTAAATACTTCAAGAATTTATGAAATTAAAAATCAGATTATGGATACTTGCTTGATTAAATTAGGTCCTGATAACTGACAATGTCCAATACATCTGCTATAGACTTGGAAGTTCCAGTATTATGGCAGCACATCTTTATTCTTAAATACTATTTGTCTTGATTTACTTTCTCTCTATACTGAAAACAGTTTTAAAATTTCATTAATCTAGTAAGAGAATAGTGTAGTTCATAAAATTTTATGGATTTACATATTATGGCACAAATCATATTCTGTTTTTAATCAATTTTCATTTTCCTAGAATGGGCACAGTTGAAACTAGAAAAACCTTGTTACAAATCCATCTTTTGATCCGCTTAGAATGACACGTGTAAGAATAAACAAGTTAGACTTTGATGAAAGACCCAAAGCCGTTGCTTCCTACAGTAAATCTTCCAGCAAAGTGCACCCAGCAACAGTGGACAGGTACATTTAATACCAAGGTATTGCACAACACATCATCAGTAGTTTTCTCTTAATGAATACGTTCTCCTCTTACCTTTTGCTCTCGACGGAGAAGAAGGAGAGGAGCTAGTTAAAGGCTTTCTAAGGGTGGTATATGGGCCTTGCATATCCGTACGGCCCACATTAGGCCTGTTTGCGTTCTGGTCACTGTGCGCCCTCTGATGACTTACAGCAGGTTCTGACTTCCTTCTTT